CGAGCAGTGGGTTATGGGAGATGAAAGATCTGTACTTTCTCAGGCTAAGCACTTGTATGCAGGGCTTTCTGCTGTTTGTGAAGCCTGGTTTGTACCATAGCTCTGGAACAGCCGCACTCTGCAGGCACGTGGCCAGCTTGTAACTGAGCACAGAGAAGCCTGGGCTGAGGCCTGGAGCGTGTGGTGCCTGCGTGGATGAGAGGCATGATCTGCTGCTGCTGATGGAAGTGGTTACAGGTGTCAGGACTCAGCCACAGGTGTGTGAAGAGCTCTATGGTAGTGGGAATGCTCACCTACTGTTGGCTTGTTTGGCATCAGCAGCTTAATGCAGGTGGCAGCAAAAATCTCTGTTCTGCATCTTCACAGTGCTACACTCTTCCTGATGCTTTGTTCTCCTGGTTCTGTAGCAGAAAAGAAAGTTACTTTCACTGACACTGGAAAAGCCTAAGAGGTGGTATTGGAAGAGAACATGAAAGATGACAGGCTATAGCAGGAGGGCACAGCTGTGGGAATGGCAGAACCCCAATTTATGGAGAGGAAGAGGGAAAGTGTACGGCTGTGTGCTGAATCCTAGCATGTGTACGTGAGGTCTGAAATTATACAGTACAAAGAACCTCTATTCTCTTATTTCATAAAACATTACAGGCTTTATAATTCTCTTATTTAATCTGTGTATGCATGTATGCATCCATAAAAACAATATTGCGCTCAGTAAAGAATAATGTTCTTGTTTACTACTGTGATGAGAACTTGCAGGTGTGTCAATTGCTGCAGGAAGTTGTTAGTGAAGCCTCAGAAGTTCCTTATTTTTTTTATATTTGTTTGTTTTAATGGCACTTGCTTTGTTTTCCTGTGTTATAAATCATAGCCCCAAAGTTTGTGAAGTCATCACTTACTCTGCAGCCCATTTCCTCTTCACTGGTGTTTCCTTCAGGTCTTGCAAATGTGTAGAGAGGAGGCCTGAAAATACCTAAATTCTCCTATCTAAGTCTTATTTATTAGATAAGAATAGACTAAAACTGCAATCCTATTACAGCATTCTTTCTATATCAAATCTAAAGTGAGGTGATGAGAATGGGATGTCCACTGATAGCTTTGGCCATCAGAAAAAATTCTTTATATTAAAAAAAAAATAAAATAAAGCAACCTGTTTATTTAAGTACTGCTGAACATACCAGTTATTGGAGTTACACAGAAATAGTAAAATCGTGTCAGAAGTGACAATTAGTTCTTCCTTTGCATGTGAAGTGTAGCACCTACCCTGAGTGCAGAGCTAATCCGCTGGATTTGTAGAGATTAGGTTCCTGACTTTTTTGAAACTGGGATTTGAGCCTGTGCAGTGCCATATGGATGATGAATCTATTGTTACAACCACAGAACGCAATTTAGGATGGTGCTAAATACACTGGCTGTGATCCAGCAATGCAGTTATGGGTGTATTTTACTTCAGAAGTGCTGTGGAATCCCATTGACTGGAATTTGGCAAGGAGTGGGAGCTCTGCAGACTGCCTGGTGGTGTGACAAAAGGCTGTCTGCTATCCCCAGGAACTTGGAACACGAATACATCTCTGGGGTGTCATATCATTTATAAGGAAAAAAAATGAGGCCATTGGGGGAAAAAAAAAAAAAAAAGTAGTATATCTGTAGAATAATTCAGGAGACTTTCTGAAAAGTAGTTCTCCAAAATAGTGAATATACTAGTTTTGATTAGAGAGAGAGATTTTGTTAATCCCCTTCTTCCAGATGTTATCTTTTTTTTTTTTTTTTTTTTTTTTTTTTTCTTTCTTAAGGAATCTTTAGGTTTTAGGAATGCTCAGCAGCTGCTTTTTCTTCTATACTAAATGATGATTAATTTTTGGATACATTTCTGCGGAGGAGGACTGGTTTACTACTGCACTTGGCTGTCTTTTTGCTGAGCCTTTGCAGCCTCATTTTTTGACAAGGTGTTGGTATTTGCTTCTTAAAGATGATGAGAATTAGGATATTACTGATTCATACAGTGTGCTGCTGAACAAAATACCAAAACACAGTGATGGAAGAACCTAACTAATGAGAAAACAGCTATGCCTGTACATCTGCCCATGGAATCTCCCTTTAAGTAAGGTCTGTGCTTGTCTGTTAGGCCTTACTCCAGCAGTGGTCCATATGTAGCAAATGATGTGGTCCTGCTGAGCATGAATTATATGGCTGCTTGCATCTTGGCTCAGAAACTTGGATTTGTACAACTGGTTGCTGAACTTATTGGCATCTTTTGTCAAGACTGCAGTAAATTATGGTGCTTGTGCTCAGACTTTGTTTTTCCCCTTGAGTTCTGAGGCGATGTTCCAATTTTCCCATTATGAATGGCATGGTTTTATTTGCCCACCAGTTGTCATTCACCATGTTACTTCCATTAGTGCAGCAGTGTATAGTTTGCATTTGGAAATGCCCTTTTTGTGAGAGAAAGAAGAACAGTATTACATTTTCATCTGGCAGTCCCTACTACTCTGTCAGTGCTATAGTGATGCACTTGCTGTGTAAGAGGCTGCAGGTGTGCCCTGAGCAACTTCCAGAGAACAATCTCAAGAATAACTTCATTTATTGCTTGACTTACTTTCCACAGTTAAGCTCAACAGACATTTTTCTGTATCATGTGTCTGCTTTTAACAACAGAAGAGCTTGCATGTGATGATTACACCTGCAGTCTCTAGCATTCACTTAGCTGATTAGAAGTTGTGTATGCAAGTTGTACCTTATGGCTGACTTTTATGCAGGCTCCAAAGTACGAATCCTCTGGTCCATTGAAATCTGCATCAGAACAAAGAGAGAAGCTGGTGATGCAGGTTGTCATTTTTATTTCTGTTTGAATGCTTGATGTTCTGTGAGAGAGTAGAGAGTGGATAGGAGATGACGTGGTTCTTGGGTTCGTTACACAAGGTGGAAATTCTTGTATATCTACAAAATTATCTAACGTTGTTAGACTAGTCAGGCCCAGTATTCAATATCAAATTACTTGCTGGTATGAAGACAACTAACTGGTGACAGAGAATATGCTGGTCGTGTCTTTTCTGTCTTTAATTTTGTTCTCTTTAGGTCAATTGCATGTTGGGAATGGTTTCAGAAGCAGAATAGTTATGCCAGTGTTAGCAGCTTAGCTGTGGACACAGCTGTTTTAGTGAGACTTGGCAACGACTTCTCTAATGCCAGTGAGGCAGTATCTGTCTGCAGATCTTTGATGTGGGATGCTGTGTATTTGTGGGTATGAAGGTCTGTTCTGCTGTCAGCCGGGAAACAGCACAATGTATTTCCCCTGTTTTTCTGGAAAGCAGATAATGAGATTGAATCATGCTCTTGTGAAATGAAACTCCTTGAAAGTGGACGGCGTGCTGACTGGCACTTGATGGAGTTCTGATGTCAGCATTCACTTCCTTTGACAGAAACGAGTTTTGGTGAACAATTCGCCCTTTAGCTTCTCGTCAGCTAGGCACACGGGCTTTTTACCTTTGATCCTGGTTAGCTTCTCTTGAGGCTTGGTTAAGTACAAAAATGATAGTCTTGGCTTTGGTGCCCTCTTGTGGTGTAATGCATTGGCCTGGCTGCCGTTTTACAAGGGAATTAATAAGTATACAAAGTATTGTTGCAGCTCAAAGTGTCTTCGGGTAGCTTACACCAAACCAAGTGACTCTTTTATTTGCTTCTAATGAGCACTTCTGTGTATGGCAGGTTTCTTTAGCTCCCTCTGTGTAACAAAGTACTTCTGTCCACGATCCAGTGACTAAGGACCTATTATAGGTAGAAGGTCTGGACACATGGGCAAAATGTGTTATATTTCAAGTTGCTGGTTTACCTTGTGTTCTCCTGCATCACCGGTACAGCTGCTTCTACTGAAGAGGATCCAAAGTTAGATACAAGAAGGCTTTAGAGATAAATCAGACTCCTAAATATTTGTGATTTGTCTGTCTAAAAGTATAGTCTTCTGTACTTACGTATATATTTTTATCCTATTAGCATCCAATCATTATCATCACTTAATAATTTCATTTTTTTAATGCCCGATTGATTACTATTGCAACTTCTTAAGAATTTTGTAATATGTTCACAACATCCTCTGTATGCATGCATTGGATTTGCACACATGAACTGTGCTTTAAAGCAGACACTGGGAAATCAAGCTTATAACATCAATCACATCATAATGGCAACACATGTTTGTTTGCTTGAGCGTTCAGCATTTCAGAAGGTTCACCTGATTTGAGATCTGGAAGAAACCTACGCTTGCACGTAGTGGACAGCATCCAGTTTGGGTCTTAAATGTTATGCTTCCCAGATAAGTCAAGTAGCATCTCAGGGAGTGGTGGGCACAAATGAAGCTGCTTAGGGAAGGGTCTGAAGGCAGAGGCTGCAGAGCTGGGCAGCTGCAAGGAGCAAGCACACAGCCTTACTTCCTAGCTGGAGCACAGGGCTTCTTGGGGCTGAGTCTGCTGCAGATCGCTGGTCATGCTTTAGCAACCAGAACCTGCCCTGAAGGACTCATTTGGACAGGGGAACAAACCTTTCTGTTCCTTCCCTCTCTCTCTCTTTCTCTCTCTCTCTCTCTCTTTCTGCAGTGGTTGCTTTGAAATTTGGTTTTAAAATGGAATAAATCCTAAGTTGTGTTTCATATGCCAGATTTTGTTAATCTGGGGCCTTTTGGGAAGTGGTTGTAAAAGGTGGTGTGGGTGGAGTCTGTTCAGGTCTGGCTTAGTTGAGATTTCTTTTTGCAGTTTTTGAGGTAGGCAAATGCTAACTTCCTTGTGCAGTTTTGATTTGATAATTTCTGACACCACAACTCTTTGAAGATAAAATAATCCATACAACATGAAGTAGGATCACTCACAAGTTACCAGTTGTGTTTAAGATAATGCACCACCAATGTCATTTCTGTGTGTCCAGATTATTTATGTTGGAATGAGTATTTGTTTTCCTTCTAGATTTTTATGAAACAATGTGTTACACTGGGTGTTCTTCTGTTTGTTTTGCAGCTTCCTTATTGTGCTGATATGCCTTATCTTCAGTGTGCTTTCTACAATTGAACAGTATGCAGCTCTTGCTACAGGGACGCTGTTTTGGATGGTATGTATTAATGTGATTGTGTGTTTGTTCTTAACATGTAAATCCTCATCTGAACCAATGTCATAGGCACAATGCTCTGTATGGTTTAGAAAGAAGCTTTTTTCTCTTTTGCCTAATGAGTCTATAAAGCCCTAGAAAAAAATCAAGAAGTTATGATCGTACAAAAAGCCACTCAGATCCTACATAGCCTATAATAAGGATGTTCAAATTGTGTCCAACTCAAAGCTATTCTGAAGTTAAACCTGAATCCCTCATGTTGGTTGTGTGAATCCATTGTTCAGCCTTGCTGAATACCAGACTTCTCAACGTGGTTGGGGCCGGGGTGTGAAGGGAATAGAGTAAATGGAAGTCCTCTCTTTAAGCAGAATTCAGATTCAGCCTTCTTTCCCAACTGGTAAGCTGCTTTGCTTTCATTAACTTGAGAATTATGCCAACTTGCTCTGCTTGTTCTATGCAGCTTCCCTACAGCAATGAACGTTTTGTTACCTTAGGTTTATGGTTCACTGATGCTGCAGCAGTTATATATCAAGCTAGGTTCTAAGAGTACTGCTGTCCTGCCTGTTTAGACTTCATTCAAGAACCTTAGTTTTGAAGTCTGAGAGGCACATTTTTTCATCACAGGAAAAAAAAATAAAATCTTAATTTGTTGTACCTCACTGGTAATTGATGTATCCCCTTCTAAATCATTGGTTTCTTTGTATTTGCCCATTATTTAACCATTATTTTACTCCTGAAAACACTATCACTGTACTGAGAAAATGTTAACCATCGATTTGTTTGTTCGAAATAGTTCTTGCAGTTGTGCACCAGTGAGATCATTATTGTGTATATCATTAACATAAAAATGTTCACTCAAAATATTGTTTCAAACCGTGAATTCAATAAATGTGAAGTTTTTATACTACATTTTGAGTAATATAAGAATAAGCACAGCATATGAGTGTTGATCACTTGTCTTTCTGTGGAATGTATCTTCATGCCTGCTGTATTATTTATAACTAACTGGTAAGTTGTTTGAATACCTGTGTTACAACTGTGCAGTTAGTTAAAGGGAGTCTATACCTGTATTTTTGCATCCAATATCTTATTTAGTTTATGGTTTTCTTTTTGTATGGATTTAAGGTTCCCTTTTATCCAAGTAGTAGTTGTAGATACTGTCAATTTCTATGATCAATTTGCACTGTGATAATATCTCCTTGAAACATTCATTTGTGATGTATTATGATATTTTCATGATCATGCTGTTGCTTCAGTGAAAGAACTTCTAGTGACAGCGTGACCATTACGTTTTGTTTTTAGTGTTTTTTTCCTTCATCCTTCACTTTTGATTTTGTGAATGAGATCATGGAAATCATTTTGCTTGTTCACAACGTATTCTTTTCCTAAAGGATTAACTATAGTGATTTTAAAGAGACTCAAATTGATTGCCAATGATCCACTGATCCAAAGCAGTGGATGGGCCGATGCGCTCTGTGCTCTATCCAGTTTTGGTGAGACTTCCAAAGGAGCTGTGGTACCTTCCTCAACAAAATTTAAGCCCCAGAATCTGGTTCCTATTAGCTTCTACCCAACGAAGTTTCTTATTCTATCCTTATTTTAAGGTTTTCTTGTTTCAGTAATAGTCATAGAAGATGCTATAACTAAATGAAAACAAGATCTAAAAGGGATGTTGAGATTGTGCGTATATATGAACACTTTTTAGTTCTTCAGTTTCATAGTATTGAAATATTTTAAAATCACCTCCCACTACCAAAGTAGAAAATCTATTTTCAATCATTTATAAATTATTTTTCAGTAATTTCTGAGCATTTTAAAAATGTTAATGCTTTCTCATAACAATAAGGGAGCCAAAGACTATTGGGAAAGTTTGTGTTGCTATCGTGTTCCAGTTGTAGACAAAAAGCTCACAATTAGCCATTGAATCTTTCTCTGCTTGTCACCACACTTCACAAGGCAAAGAACCTTGATGAAAGCTATACCTAAATGCAGTTGTGATGGGAGAATAGGAGAGAATTGGGCTTTTGTTAGCTTCCAGAAGGCAGTGAAAACTGTTTAAATTAGCATGCGTTTATTTTATCGTTTTTCACTAGATGGTGCTGTTGGAGGGGGTTTAACTGCAGTAACTTGTTGGCAGTTGCCCAGCGAGAGCTGAGACTGAGCCAAGACTCTGAAAGGATCATCATTTTGAAGGGTGTATGTATACTTGGCCCATTCTAAATAGTGGTGCGGGAGAGCTTTTGCCATGACTCATAAAGAGAATGTAGTATATCTGTGCAAAAATTGATTTTGAGACTACAATATTTAAACTATGGAAAAAAGTAATTCAGAGGTGTATGTTCCCAGAGAGGCCATATTTTTCTTTTATTTTCATAAGCAAGGATTTTACAGTGCCAGAACACAGCAGAATGCTGTTATCTCAGCATGATCTAAGAAAATCCAAGTGCCTGATCCAAGGGGATTAAATATTCTGCTGAACGAAGGGATATTTAGTCTGCCTGAAAATGCTATTTTCTTGTAGGAATCTCATTTCAATATTGATTCCAGAAAAAAAAAAAAAGTGACTGTGTTTTAGTGATGAAATTATAAGCACTTTCCAGCTTTTTCTTTTGAGTTCCTTTCTTACCTCAGAGTACTGCTTACTTGAAGAGATAAAAGTATTTTTTAAATATTAAAAATGGCTTCAGAGAAAAAAAAATGTAGTATGTTCAGTGGTTAATATTTGTGTTATTAGCAGTGAAGGAATCTACACGATTGTGAGAGAATGGCACAGAATTGAGGCTTATAAGAAGCCCAGGTTTTATTTCTTGCTTTAATATAAGCTTTTGTTTGAAGATCAGCCTTGGCTTTCTTTTTTTTTTTTTTTTTTTTTTTTTACTGGGTTGTTTTATGGGCCTTGAGAAAAATACCTACAGCTTTTGATTCTGAAGAACTCACAGAGTTCAAGTGGTTCAGCGTGGTTCTAGCATTTTTTTCCTCATTATCTTCATTGTTCATGAAGCCAAGACAGGAACTTGTAATCTGAGCATTGATAGTTGCTCTCGTTTTCATTGCTCTGAAAAATTATATGAGAGTATTGTTTGTAAAGGATTTCCCCATACTGTGCAGTGCAGACTGCAGTCACTGATGTAGGCAGTCTCTCTGAAGAGTACTGCACTTCTGAAAGCAAAAGACTTGGCAGCCTCAGCAGTGTCCTCTGGCCCTGACCTAGAACAAGGTCGACTGATGTAGCAGATGTGCATATGATGAACTCATGCCTTCAGACCTTTGCTTTTGTAGGACTTGCAAACAGACTTGTTCAGAGAATCACCTTACTGTCACTCAATCGATAGCTGAAGTTTGAGAACCCAACTGTCATTCAAAATTGCCTTCTGTGCATTTTAGTTAGCCAAATGTGAGTGACTTGAAGGCTTAGGAAAGAACAGACATGAAAATCATCCTTTCCCCATTTTCCTCTGAACCCCAGTATTACTGGCTGCTCTGTTTGTCCTGGTGGACGATGCAAGTGTTTTGTTGCATGGTTACAGTCATTTAGCCCTGCAAGCAGCTAAACACCACAAGGCCTTTAGCTTTCTTATCTACTCCTAGTGGGATAGGGGAGAGAATTGTGGGGGGAAAAAAGATAGAATTCATGTGTTGAGATAAATACTATTTACCAAGACAGAAAAGGAAGAGAGAAATAACAGTAATGATAATAATATATATGTATATTAACAAAACAAGTGATGCACAAATCAGTTGCTTACCACGTGCCAACTGATGCCCGTCCAGTCCCTGAGCAGCAGAAACACCCCTCAGCCAACTCCCCTCACTTTTATATATTTTTTTCACAAGATTTCATATGGTATGGAATATGGTATGGAATCCCTTTGGTCAGTTGAAGTCAGCTGTCCTCTCCATGATCGTGTTCCTCCCCGTCTTCTTGCTGGCTGGATAACTCACAAAGCTGTAAAGCTGAAATGTCCTTGGCTGTAGATAGCACTGCTCAGTAACAGCTAAAACATCAGTGTGTTATCAACACTGTTTTTCTCCTGAAGCTAAAATATTGTATTACACCAGACACCATACAGAAAATCAACTCTGTCCCAGCTGAAACCAGGGCAACAACCAGCTGGGTTGGTTTGGATTGCTACTTGTGGTAACTTCTTCAATTGTTCCTGCTGCTCACAAAGCGATCCCTTGTTAACTCCCCTGGTCTGTGCAGGAAAGTTGTAGATTTTATGTAAATTAGATGTTAAAGGGATTTAATTAATTTGCTTTGGAAGGCTGTGACCATTTTTTAGTTGAGTTTAAATACAGCTTTACGTCCACCTTAAGCAGGTCTGAGGGATGCAAATCAGAGTGGTTGTGAAGTGGGAAGAAGACAGATTATTAGATAGCTGAGCCAATTTAGTGCTTATGACATGAGGTTGTTTTTTTTTTTTTTTTTTTTTTTTTAAAAAAAAAAGGAAAATAGGAAGGGAAAAGAGCTTGTTAGCATTGTTTGGAATAGCTGAAGTCTGAGCAGAATAAGAGTGGCAGGAGGGAATGAAGAAGAAATATGAAAGGAATGTGCAAAAACCAGTAAAGGAAGGATGAAAAGTTTTTCCTTTCAGAAGTGCTGCAAGTCTAAGCTCTTAACTGTTGTAGAAAGGAGGCACAGTTTTCTCTTTAAAATCTGTAGAGGGCAGCATTGGACCGTGCTGTGTCCCATTTGCAGTGGCTGGGTTCAAACCTTGGATGATGTCCTGAAGTAGGTAAAAATATCCTTTGGAAGAAGTGAACTATTAATAAAGAGATGGCTTTTCACATGGATTTGGGGAACTTTATACGAGTAATAAAAAACAAATAAATTCTCCTGGGAGATAGGGGTTGAAGAGAAGGGCTGTGTAAATGTTGCTGCCAGAGACAACTCTCGCCACTTTGTGGCTGTAGCCACAGAGTTCATGTTGTTTGGCCTACCTGATTTCTCATCATGTGGATGGCTGTAAGGAACAATTACAGCTTTCAGTGAGAGGAATTGG